AGGTAGAATAGCCTCAAACCATTCCTTGAAATTATCACCATTCATTTCATCGTGATAATCGGCGCTATTTTTTTTGGATTCAAAGCATAATAAACCACCTGGCAAAAAACCTTTGTCCGAACCGATATGAAGTATTATCAGCCGCTTGCCCTTGCCAGTTGGGTTGGTCGACCCGGTCGTTAGTCCCTTGTTGAACGCGTCGTGTTTGGAAAGAACAGTATTGTCCTTCCACACGCGGTCCACACAGTCGCCTGCATTCAACCACGTCTCGTCCAAATAATAAATTTGTCGACCTTCCTGACGATACTTGCGGATATTATACAAATAATTTCGGCGCCAAACAATCAAGTCTTCCCTCTCCGTTAGCACACTGCGCCTTTTTCTTTTTTCGAACACAAAATCCAATTTCTTGATGGTACTGTACAAAGTAGTACGTTTGAAATTAGGAAGCGATGGATCTTCGTTCACTGCAACTAATATTTTGTCGATCGTAGGTAGTTCACGACGCAACCAAAACGAATGTACTTTTTGTCGTAATCCATTGCGATCTAAATCATCAATTTTGTCGAAGAGAGAAGACTTAATGCGCTTTTTGTTGGGAGATGTAACCGTATTTGTACGTCTGTATTCAGCGATGGTTTTACTAATTGTCTCACGACCTAAACCCAAGGCCTCTGACAAATTATTGACAATATCTTCGTACTTGATGCCCGGCGATTTCATCAAAATATCCTTGTACAAATTTATGACCATTATTTTTTGACGGCTGGATATATACTGTGAAAAAAATATTAACGTATATGAATAACTGATGTATAATAATTATTTAATAAACATAATAACACATTATACTATTATTATTATTTATGTAATATACATCGACGAATATAAAATATTAAAAATGTTTTACTTACTTTTCCTTTTGGATTTTTTCTCTTTGGAGAAATAGTAGACAATTCATCTGGATCAGAAATATCACCAAAATCACTCATGATGAAATAAAAATGTCTGTAGGAATAAAATTGTGAACACACGTTACGCTAAGCATGGTCGGAACACAATGAGACCGAATTCCACAACGTACGCTAATACATCGACAACGATCGTATATCAGCGGCCGTCGTCGGTAAAATAGACGCACGGTGCGAGAAACATCTGTCCGCCGCCGTCGAAAACTGGTCGCCGCCGTCTACGTTTCTTATTTTGAACGGACTATAGTAACAGTAACAGCATTTTTCTAATAACAGTATTATACAGGAACAGTATCAATCATTATTCATTATTCAATAACAGTAACTGTTATTTTCACTGTTATTTTTTGAGTAACAATAACAGTTTGTAACAGTTACAAAAATTGATAACAAGTTGCCATCACTAGTTGTCACGTGGTTTCCCACTGTGCCCGGTTCCCTGCTGTATGCCGTTACGCCGCGAGCGCCGCATCAGGCAAGTGTGCCAATTCGGTTATCGCCGGTGCGTCGATCGGTTCACCAGCCGCCGCCGTTGCTGTCCGTTGGTACCAGTGTCGTCGTGTCCAGGAGTCAGTTGTTATCAGTCCTTATCACCATCTTCGTCGTGCAGATAAGACCAACCTTGTTATTGTTTATATATATTATTTTGTACATCGCCATTCCCAAATCGTAGGCTTTTTGTAAGATATGATCATATCCCCCTGTGTATAATACTACTGTTTATTATATGTGTCGACAATAATAAGTTGATTCGTGCCACCAGCGCACACCATTCAATCTGTGTACGTCTCATTTTATTTTTGTTTATGATTAGTCTCACAATTAAGGTTACCTACTCCTAGTCACACACAGGTTACTAGATATTCTTACCCGTCGCAAGTGTCGTACGGCCAGCTAACGAGAGGACGTCAATAGCTCCGTCCGGTGCGCATACAATACGATAGTCACACGCGAAGTGATGGTGGTCGACACGCGGTTTTGGTCGTTGTTGAGAAAATTCGGGATGCGTCACGGTACCAAAACGTCTGGTTCGTTCAGCGGTCTCGGAAAATGTAAAAAAGACGGCCGATGTTGTCTTGCCGCTGGTCGTTGATGTTGACGTGGTGGGGAAGGTCAGTGTCGCATTATAGGGACGTTTACAATAATAATTTGGGAAACAGACTGCTTTGTCGGTGCGTATCGACGGACGCGACAGCTGCGACCGGCGGTGACGACCGGCATCGGCAGCGGCCTGTTGGCGGGCGGACACTGCGGGTTGTGGGGGCCGGGGTCAGGTATTATGTAACATTGTGGTCATTTATGCATTGGCGCGCGATAAATATAATAATATCATAATGTAATCATAAGTAATAATAATAAAGAAAAATAATATGCTCAGGGGAACTATAATAATATTAAGTAAGGCCTAAAATTCTGTGACGTTACAAATATTAATATAATATTATATTATCACTTCAGGGCCGCATTTAGGGGGGGGGCACTGGGTACAACTGCCCCGGGCGCCAGTATTTTAAAATTTTGTCGACAGAAATGTCTTTACTTATGATTTTTTTAAATTGTATTTATGTACTTTAAATTATTTTTATAACAGTATTATATAATATAATCTAGTATAATTACTATTAAATTTTAATACTTAAATTTTAATATTAGTATTAATAATACTATTATAGTATTGTATATATTATTATAGTATAATAATATTATGCTGTTTGAAATTTATTATTTAAACAATCAATGTATTTATAGCAATATAGCTACAGCGATCGATAATTATTAATATACCTAGTTCCCAAATTTGTTGTGATTATGTCAATAGACATCAGTTATTTATAATAATACGGGCAATACCAATACGGCGTATTGATTTTATATTACATAGTTTTGTACTTATAATTAAAATAAAGGAAGTTCCAAAACAATGATTTTGAATATTATTCTATATTATAAACATCATTCATTTAAATAGGTAATATTATTTAATTATTTGCTATTAAATTTTGTGTTTATTATAATCATTATTTTTTGTAATTTCTACAAAATTAAGTAAGTAAGAATCAATTAAACTATAGGTATGTAGAGATTCAAAAATAATTAATGTTTAATAACTGGTAAGTTGACAAGTTGTTATGAAACAAATTTATGCAGGTCACTTTTTTGTCACTTTTATAAATAAATTCAGTCACTTTTTTTAAATAGCTTAAACCACTACCAACCCTGTATATAGTTACATTAATTTTATAAAATACTATATACAATAAAATATAAAATATTTATTTGCATAGTTTTATATAATTTTATTTTATTTATCCATGAAGTACCTACTTAAATATGTTTAAAAAAAAAACAACTTAATGATACTAAATTATTAGCAAGGTTTGAGTGACATAAATTCCAATATATCTTTGCGGAGGGATCAAGCAATTACTAAACAATATTTTTTTATATTAAATAAACTGTCTATTAAATAGACTGAAAATGCGGAACTTTTATATGAAAGAAGCTTCTTGACTATCAGACTATGGAAGGCAAAAGGAGAAAAAAAATGTACATACAATTAGACGAATGAATTAGAAAAACATTAGTAGTCTATGAATTAGATAATGATTTAGAAAAATGCTTAAAAAAAGTGTGAAGGGAAGTTTAAATATAATATATTTGACAAGTATATAACTATATCGATTATAGTAAAAAAGTATTATAATATTAAACCTATTAACATAAATTAAGTATATATAGTATATAAAATATTATATAGCACCCAAATCTTATAGTCAGGTAGATAAAAATAAATTGACCGCAAATGGCACGCAAAAGGTGCCGACCGCAAATGTCCCGGAACCGTCCCGCCCAAACGTCTATGGGCATAATAGAAACTAGTTAATTAATAGCACAATATCTCAATAGATAGCTTGCAGTGTCATGATTGGAAATTAAATTATTATTATTGACATAAAATAGTAAATACTAAAAATAGATAGTAATGCCGACAATCGTCGCTAGTTCAGATTCCACAGTTCGTTCTTGGATATTTGAGATAAAGCCGGGTCCACACGATGATAGTAAAATGGGATAGCTGCTATCGCAATAGACTGCAATAGTTGACTATCATAGATGGGATTATCCATACAATGGATAGTAAACTTCGATAATGAAATAATTAATAAATAATATTATATTATAGAAAAACTTATAAAACGTATTATGTCTTCAATTATAATATTATTATATTAATAACCTATTCTTATTAATAGTAATTGTATTTCTTTTGTTGAAAATGTCCTCGAATGAAACTATTTGTGCTGTATTACGTGCAGTTGAGGAGATAATAAAATTAAAAAGGTATAAAAAATATGGGTTAAAGATTGGATAAAACGAAGAAATAATCTAGGAGCATCAAATACATTGTTAAAAGAGTTAGCTGTTGAAGACCCGAGAAATTATTTCAATTTTCTTAGAATAAATGAATCAATGTTCAATATTTTACTATGAAAGGTAATGACATCAAAACTTTTATTATATTTATGAAAAATAATTAACATATAATTTACCTATGTTCTTTTGTAGGTTAAAGACCAAATTTCAAAACAAGATACAGCTATGAGAGAGGCATTAACACCGAGAGTTAAATTAGAAATATCATTAAGATTTCTAGCAACCGGAGACTCGTATACATCTCTACAATATTTATACAGGGTTTCAAAATCTGCTATTAGTGAATTTATGCCTGATGTTTTCGATGCAATATTTGCAGGATTAAAAGAATTTATCCAGGTAGAAAACACATGTTTATTAATTTTCACAATACACTTAAAAGTATAATAGCATAATTTCCTTTCATTTATTTTTAACAGAGGGTAATATTAACAAATAAACAGTATATCTCAAATTTAACATATTTTATAATTTGTTCTTTATAAATTTATGAAACATTTTATTAAACCATAAATTATTTTAACTAAAATTCAAAAAAAGTCCAGTCTTTAGATACTACAGATTGTTCATAACAAGTTATGAATAATACCAAGTTCAATTTTTCCAATTATTATAGAATAGAGTCACATTTGATGGTCTTTCATCTTGTGATGGACATTCTAAATTTACATATTCATAATCGATATCTTCATTATTCTCAATTAAAATTTCTGTATGGTCAGTATGGTCTATTGACGTAGATATATCATTAGTGGACATTGAATTATAATCAGGACACTGCAAATTTGATTGATTTGACATAGCCTTGAGACGTTCTTTTATCAGCAAATTCTGAATTTCGTTTTGTACATTTAGTGCATGTTGTAGTGGAAGTTTTTGGAGTTGAGTTCCAACAAGCTTTCCAAATAAAACAAATTCGTTTTCATTTTCTTGTTTAGAACAAACATATTTTAATGGATCAACAGCGTTGTCCAAAGAATAATCAATTTTTGTTTTTTTTTTTTTTGATTTTGTCATCAGTATGTTTTTTTTTTTTAATTTTCCTTTGGGCTGTGAAGTATTAACATCTGAACTTGTATCATCAATATTCCGTCTTAGTTGTTCCAAGTGTTCATTTGATTCTACTACTGAATCTTCAAATTTTTCCTGAGATATGACTTCACTATTCGTGGAATTTCCTTTTGGTGTTAATATCTCAATATATTTATGCATTATTATATATTTTAATATTATCTGATTATTATCTTTATATATATAATTCTACTGTGCGTGTGTTTGTAAGCGAACTCCTTCTAAACGGCTGGACCGATTTTGATGATTTTTTTTGTATGCGTTTGGGTGACGCCTCGCATTTTTTAGATTCACAAATCATCCCCTAGGTCCAACCAGGGAATGTACTCAAACGGGGATTTAGAGATTAACGGTGGAAATTTTTGTTTATAAATGGTTTCTATTGGTTTTAAAACTATTATAATAACAATGATTATGGTTGCCGTGAAATCAGTGTATTCATTCAATGCATTTAATTTTTTTGTGCCCTGTGTTTTAATATTATATGTATCGAATTTTTTTTTTTGTCATATTTATTTAAGTTGTACAATCTGTAAGAAAAAAAAATATTTGAAATAAGCACAATGGAGACGAATGGATCTTCGCAGGAAAAAATTTTTTGTGTCCGTATAAAATATTGCCTACATTTAGCCCCTTTTTTGCAGTTATCGAAATGTGAGTTGTCACATTGATAAACCGATAACATAATTTTCATTGTAAATTATAATATTATATTTTATTATATTAATTATAATTAAAATAGTTAAATACATTAATAGTTAATAAGTTATTAAAAAACACAATATCGTAATTTAAAATTTAAAAATACAAAATTCATTGAGAATACAGTATAAATGTACAACCTATTTACGTGGAACATTATTTTAAATTTTCAATCTTTAGCTATAAAAGGTAAATTATATAATACAATTTAAAATTTGATAAATATTTTCAAAATTCGAACACAGATAGCAAATGTGTAATGATATTATTATTATTATAGTACACAAATATTGTTATAAAAATATTGTTATTATAATAACATAACTATCCAACTAACATGATATTTTTACATTATAAATTATAATTAAAATAGTTAAATACATTAATAGTTAATAAATTTAATAATACACAATTAAAAAAAAAAACACAATATTCATTATTCACTTACGATCGTCATTTAAAAGATACAGTTCAACAATATATTAAGAAATTCATTTTCTTTTAGGGCTATAAGAATGATCGTCATATGAATGAACATTTAAAACACTTGTATTATATTTTAGTAAGGATTTTCTTATTATATTACCTTCACTCGACGACAATTGATGAAATTCAAGTTTATTTTTTTATTTTTAGTAAAGAAACGTGGTTGTTTTTCAATATTTTTTTTATGTTAATTGTATTTATATCTTCTGTTTGCATAGGTTTTGATTCGTTTGTAAGTAATTCAATAATTTTATTGCAATGTTTTAAAATATGTTTTTTTGTGTACTGTAATAATAATAATATCATTACACAATTGCTATCTGGGCATTTGAAAATATTTATCAAATTTAAAATTTAATTATATAATTTAACTTTTATAGCTAAAGATTGAAAATTTAAAACAATGTTCCACGTAAATAGGTTGTACATTTATACTGTATTCTCAATGAATTGTATATTATTAAATTTTAAATTACGATATTGTGTTTTTTAATAACTTATTAACTATTAATGTATTTAACTATTTTAATTACATTTAATATAATAAAATATAATATTATAATTTATAATGAAAATGATGTTATCGGTCTATCAATGTTATCACATTTTGATAACTGCAAAAAAGGGGCTAAATGTAGGCAATATTATATACGGACACAAAAAATTTTTTCCTGCGAAGATCCATTCGTCAATGGAGGGATACCTAATAGGTTAGGGTTGGCTTGATTGAAGAAGCTAATAATAAGATAATAGCACTTCATGTCGGGATAGGTAGAAGTGGTTTGTGGACTATTTAACTAGTTGACTAGTAGGCACCAACTACGCTTTAAACGTCGTCCAGGGTTTAAGGTGGAGACATTTGTATAATGAATAATTTTAGACAATAAATATAACTTTTATGTATTCTGGTTCTGTTCAATGATTTATTTATTATTTTATTTTAGGTTCCAAAAATAAAAAAGTTGGGTAAGTGGGTGTCGCTCTGCTGTACAGTAGCTTACAAGTGTGTCACTGTATAATGGATAGTATTAAATTTGAATTCAATGATATAATATCATTATATAAGAAAAACGATTCTGAGCGGAGACGGTATGTCAGTCTAGGTATATAAAACATATTATATACATATCTATGGTATTAAACAAAAAATTGACCTATAATAGGTACCTGTAATAAATTTAAAATGAATCATATCACAATATCCATTAGGTACTTATAACGCGTTATACATCAACAACAAACCCTGATACTATCATAGATAGTTATTATAATAGTTAGATAGATTATTCGGTGATTGTGCCAAAATGGCAGCAATGCATTCTGGTCCTGCGTCAACAATTAATTCAGTTTGTTTATGTATGTCATAGTAAGCGTTACTTACATTTTTAACAATACTTCCTTTAAACTCTTCAAATGCTGTTTGTTCTGTGTTGCTCCATGACCATTTTCTGTTTGCTGTAATTAGATTTCTTAATGGTTTTGTTTTCTCTGCTAGGTTTGGAATAAATCTTCTACAGTTGTTTATCTTGCCTAGTACACGTCTTACCTCAGACACATTTGATGGTGGCTTGAGTTGTATAAATGCTTTGATTTTTTTTTTATCTATCTTGACGATCTGTTCACTAAACTGGTACCCAAAGAATGTGACACTGAATAAACTTTTTTCATAATTTAATGTCAGTCCTTTTTCCTGTAACCGACTAAGTACTTTTTCCAAGATCTTGTCGTGTTCATCTTGAGATTTGGCATATATCAGTATGTCATCGCTAACGTTCATTACATTAGGAATATTTACAAGTACCTGTCTAATTTCGTCTTTCAAAACTTCTGCCGCACTGTTAATTGCAAAATTCAATCTTTTGTATTGTCTTAAGCCAACATGGGTGCTAAATGTAGTAATAGACCTTGAAGCACACTCTAACTCTAACTGGTGGTATCCTTCATTGAGATCTAATTTTGAAAATACTTTTGACCCAATAACAGCACTTATTATATCGTCAATAGTTGGGGTCACGTGACGCACTCTTTCGATGGCTGCGTTTGTTCTACTCATATCAACACATAGTCTTACTTTTCCATTTTTTTTAGGAACTAAGACTATTGGAGAGACCCAGGGTGTTGGTCCATCCACTTTTTCAATTATTTCTAATTTTTCAAGTCTTAGTAGTTCATTTTCTAGTTGATTTCTCAAATGTATTGGAAACCTTCTATGTTGTTGTGCAACTGGCTTGATAACTTCGTTGATGTGCAGTTGAACTTGTTTTCCTTTTAACTTGCCAATCTCATTAAACAGATTTGGGTATTTACTTTTGTATTGAAAAGTTTTTCGACGATTTCGATTAATTTGTCTTAATAAATCCTCGTGTCTTGGCGATGCTCATGCGTGTTTTTTTTAGCATTTGCTGCTTCGTTCGAATTTTCCGTATGATATGGGCGCTTATGACCATTGCGAGATTGAACAGAAAAAAAAAAAAATTTACTATTGTTTTGCTAAACATTATAGAAATGCATGTTACAGCTTGAAAATCTAAAAAACTTTTTAATGAGATAGAAAAGATAAATTGTTATAAATATAAAAGTTTTTTAGTAAAAGTACTTGAAGAAATATTAAGAATTTAAAAAAAAAATGTGATTATCATATAGAAAATACTATTTTTAAAAATATACAAAATGAGGTAGGTGTCAAGCTCTGGTATTACATACATGTATATATATATATTATATATGTAAAAACAAAAACAAATATGATATAGACCTCTTAGCTATAGTAATAATACACAACGTTCTTTTGTGTAGCATGAAATAATAGTAACAGTAAGATGTATAATATACGCTGGCTTCGTAATAGTTTATTAAGATCTTTATATAAAAAGTCTGCCTATATATGTTTTTATTGGTATTATATTAAATATGTATACGTTTTCATAGAAAAATAAGATACTCATAATATTGTATTATTATATATATATAATACTAGCTGAATAACCCGGCTTCGCCCGTGTACAGTTTTTTTGTGTAACCTACTATAACTTTTATTTTATCAGTTTTTATATTTATTACAGGCTGCTTTTAGATAAGTTTATCCTAGGTTGCCCATGTATTGTTACAATCAGAAGTCATCAAAAAATTACTTTATTTTAATATTTTGAAAACAAATTGTAAGATACAATTCTAATCGACGAAATGTTGAAATAAAATATACCCAAAAACATTATGGTTTTATAAAAATCCACCAATATTTATATTGACATATTTTGTTCATCTCAATACCTCTTTATAAACAGTATTTTTGGTACTGCCTTTTGGTGCTAAAATAACCAAACTACTGGCAGAGCTAACTCTAGAACATGCGACATAGAACTGTCCATGTGAAAAACATTCTTCTCTTAAGTCAATCCCTGCCATGCCCAATGATTGTCCTTGAGACTTATTAATAGTCATAGCAAAGCAAACTTTGAGTGGGAATTGTATTCTTTTAAACTCAAAGGGATAATCAGTTGGGATTAACGTTATTCTCGGGATTAAAACTATATCTCCTCTAGCACACCCAGTGATAACTATAGCTTCTATTACATTTTTGTGCAGAGATTTAACTTGCAATCTAGTTCCATTACACAATTTAGGTGGGTTAAGATTTCTTAGTAACATTATAGGTGCTCCAATTTTAAGGATAAGTTTATGTGATGGAAGACCAGAAGGATTCAGAGTATTCTGTATCCAAATTTTTCATACAGTTCACCATTGAGGTACACCTCAATAAATACCAAAAATAATTGTCCGGCTGCCACCAGCTCACATAAACCTCCATAAGTATTAAATTTTAACATATCACTAAAGTAGTCAGCAGAACTACGATAATTATTTCCATCACTATCATGTGACATCATTGAATAATCTTCCCAATTATTTATCACATGGGTTACTATCTTTTTACGTACTTCTTGGGCCTTATC